GTTGTGAAATCATGAATGTCCATAAATATAGCACCACAGCGTAAATAGTTAATATGCCAATTACTAAACTCAGGTGAAATGTGTAGAAGGAAAATGCCATCAGCAGTCATAAAAAGAGAAGTAAAAGAAAAACAAGCTTATATCCTTTTGGGTTTAGAGACTACAAGATACTATGGTAACAATTGGAAATACCACAGAAACCTCATCATTTTAATGGAAAATATTCACTGTATATTAGTACGTTATAAGATAGAAGCAGGTCTTCTGCTATTAAGGTTGCAACTTAATATGTTGCAACTTAGGTTGCAACTCCAAACAATGGAGCCATAGTTTGAACACTTGTTTGCACTCTGATTGGCTGTTAGCCAGGCAATCAGAATGCAAATAAAGCATGACAGCTAGACAGATAGACTTAAACTTTTATAATATATCTCTGTCTATATAGAGATATATATCTATATATTAGTGGTATTTCATTTAAATTATGGAAAAACATGGATTTGGGATTCCTTTTTTAACTGAAAATTAGGATTTTTTTTTTTTTAAATCAGAGAAAACCAGGATCCCTGGTGAGAAGGTAGGCTGCCTGCAGGTGTGGCAGAGGGCAACGAGGAGCCACATAACCCAAAGCCCCTGGGCCAGCAGGAGATAAATCCAGGGCTTGAGATGAACAGGTAGTCTATCCCCGAGAGCTGTGGAAGGAAGAACTTTTGAGCAGCAGGGCTCCTGATTAATACTGAGCTGGGGTAAGCAAGCCTGGTGATACATGGATTGAAACTGTAGGGGTGGTGGTCTCAACAGGAGTGGGGCCACGGCCCAGGAGCAGGGGGTCAAAGATCAAGGAAGGGTCACAGCTGGGCACTGACAAGGGCAAGGACCCACAGCCCAGGGGCCCAGTGCCTCTGAGAGGCGGAAACAGAGTCAGGGACCCAGGGCCTGGGAGTAGACAAGATGGACAAAGTGCTCAGGCATGGGCAGGAGATAGAACAGGGGCAGGCAATTATTTTGGGCAGAGGGCCACTTACTGAGTTTTGGCAAACTATCGAGGGCCGCATGACAGGCAACCCAGGGCAGATAAATATTAATTTTCTACATTTTTAGGGGCCCTGCCGGCCAGATAGAATGGCCTGGTGGGCTGCATCCAGCCCCTGGGCCACATTTTGCCCACCCCTGAGATAGAGGCTTAAGCCCAGGTGGGGCACAGGACACAGGCCTGAACTAGTGAGTGATTGATTACATCTGTGATGCTGGGCATGGCTAAAAGGGGAGAGGAGGAAGAGGACATGTAATTCACCCTTAAAGTGATAAGTAGGGCTATACTCACGAGCATAAGATCTGGCTTGGGAAGCTCTGGGGCAGCCTCCTTTTGCAAAAGTATAATTACAGCAAGTTGTGGCAGGTAAGCTGAAGGGGAGATAGCCCTTGTCACCTCTGCTTTCTTTGGGGCTAAGAGAGCTCCAGGGGCTTCATGGCCACTCCTGGGGAGGACCCTGCTACAGACCAATAATGGAATGAAAGGGCTGGAAGCTGTAGAAAGAATGGATGGGAAGCTCAGGAGACTTGCCCTTCTTTCTGCAGACTTGGTGAAGTCTGCAGCTGGAGAGTTTCTCTTATGATTATTAGGAAGTTCACTGCTCACCTTCCCTTTAATAAAGTCTTAGGAGACACCTTGCACCTTCCTGAGACAAAGTCTAATCCCCTTAGGTCCTTAGCAGCATCATTAGGGACTAGCATCTAGGGCTTATAATAAACAAAGATTAGGTATATATTGTATTACTGTTTCAGTTAGAGGGTTGATTCTTTTAAATCAGTGGTGCCCAACCTTTTGGCCCTGTGGGCTAGATGAGTGGTGCAGGGCTGGATCCAGTACACATAGAACCAGGGCCTGATCCAGTGCAAGCCTGCCATATTGTGAATGTGGCCCCAGCTCCATGCATACTGTATTAGATCTGCTGCCCAGGCCCTGGCCTCAGACTTGGACCCTTGCACATGCTGCATTGGGCCCTGCTTCCCTGACCCATGTGCACCGGGGTGGGCCCACTGTCCCAGCCATGGCTCCCCAGACCTGGCTGGATACCACATGCAGGACTGGGTCATCTGGCCCACAGGGCTTGGAAATTTGGTGGTGGGAGGAGTGGTGGTAGCATTAGTTGCTACCATGCCCCACCACCGCCAAATTTCCAGATGCTTGGGGAGCCCTGTAAGCTGGATATGGCCTTCAGCACCTCTTTTAGACAGGTAAAGCCTGTAACATGAACATGGTGTCATTTTTCAATAGTTCCCCCCTACCCCCACTATATGGAAATAACTGCATCAGTTTAAAGCACATTCTTGTTGCCAAAAAAGAGATTCACACTTGTAAACCTGTTACTATGCAGGTAAAGCTAAGACAAGAGTTGTGTATGTAGACAAAACCTAAGTAAGCTTCTGCTCTTAGTATGGTGAAAACACAGCACACGTGGGTACTGCAGGAAAGATGGCCAACTGGTATGGCATCCCCATGCAGCAGTCAAGGGAGGTTGGGGACTCATTTGAGAAGGGTCTGAATGCTGTGAAACCTGCAGATGCTGGGAGGCAATACCTTTCTTCCACTCCTGCCTAACATAGGTCCAACCTACCTGTTCTTTACAAGCCAGCATAAAAACCTATTTATAGATATCCTACCTGACCGCCCCCCCCCAATCTTTGCACTTCCTTTCTCCCTTTCGTGTTAGTGCAGCAGCTCTCAACCTGGGCCCCTTGCTAAGACTCCATTCCCCGCTCTTGGAGAACGTCGTAACAGTCACTCATTTCTTAACTATGGAAAAATAATAGTGATTCTCCTGTTGTGATGAACTCAAGGAGACCACAGCAGGGTAGAATGGCTTTGACACTGGGTTTCCTACCCCTGCTCAAAGCAGGGCCATGCCCAACTAAATCATTCCAGCCACAACTTTGTCAAGCCAGGCCTTAAATCTCCAAGGACAGAGATTCCACTGCCTCGCTAGGTAACCTGTATTGGTGCTCACCACCCTCCTAGAGTTTCCATCCTAAACCTCCGTTGCTGCAACTTGAGACTGTTGCTTCTTGTTCTGTCAAGTCACCATGGAAAACAGTCTAGCTCCATCTTCTTTGGAACCACCCTTCAGGTAGTTGAAGGCTGCTATCAAATCCCTTTCCCCCACCCCTTCTCTTCTCCAAACCAAATAAGCCCAGCTCCCTCAACCTCTCCTCAGAAGTCATGTGTCCCAGCCCCAAAACCACTTTCATTGCTCTCTGCTAGACTCTCTCTAATCTGTCTGCATCCTTTCTGTAGTGGGGGGCCCAAAACTGGACACGGTACTCCAGATGTGGCTGAGTAGAGAGGAATAATTACTTCCCATGACCAACTGGCAACAAACCTACCAATGCAGCCCAGTATGCCATTAGCCTTCTTTAAAACTGGGGCACATCGCTGACTCATTGTCCACTCTAACCCCCTGGACCTTTTCTGCAGAGCTGCTGCCCAGCCAGCCAGCCAGCCCCCAGCCTGTACTGGTGCATGGGATTGTACAATCTTCAGTGCAGGACTTTGTACATGTCCTTGTTGAACCTCATGAAATCTCTTTTGGCCCAATCATCCAATTTGTCTAGGTCACTCTGAATCCTAGCTTGGGGTGCACCGATACGAGTTTTTTGGGCTGATAATAATGAGTCATTGGTAATGAGCCATATCAGTCAACACCAATTTGATTGCTGATATGCAGCCCAGCAGCTATGTATAAGCAGCATCCAGCTGGTAAGTCTGTTGGGGGGACATTGGCAGGGGGAGGGAAGAGGCATAGCGGCACAGTTTGAGGCCCCTACCATGAGGAAGGGAGTGTGGCTGGGGTAGGGGCTGCCTAGCTGGGGTGGGGAGTAGGACAGAGCCGCAAGTGGCTTGTCTGGGGGGCACAGGGACTGGATCCTGCAGCTACACCCCCACCCTGGGGGAGCCATGGGGGCATGTGCCCCCTGGCTCTGTGTGTGAGGTAAAAGCAGGCTAGGGCCAGGCTCTTCCTAGCAGGGGTGGGGGCTGTGCTTGGGGCAGGTGGTGGCAGCACTGGGGGGGGGGCGCTACAGCCACCCCAAAATTCACTGTAGCCCCCTCCCAGCTCCACCACCTGACCTGAGCGCAGCCCTGGCCCATCCCCCATACTGGGAAGAGCCTTCTGCTAACCCTGGCCCCAGCCCATGGCAGCAGCCTGGCCTCACCCCACACAGATCCAGGGGCACGTGCCCCCCATAGCTCCCTCAGGGGTGCAGGTAGCAGTGGGATCCATCCCAACCCCATACTGCCTGGAGGAGACACTTGCAGCTTCATCCAGCGCCGCGCCCTACCCAAGCTGGGCAGTCCCTGCAGCAGCCCCACTAACCCCAGGGGCATCAGTCTGCCCCTCCCCTCCACATCCCTTCCTTCCCCTTGCCCCGCCCCATCCCCAACAGACTTACCAGCTGGACATCACTCTCCAAGCTGATGGGCTGGCTGCATGCATGCATATAGGTGTGCATGTGTGTGTATAGGTAAGCATGTGTATATATATACACACACAAATGCGTATAGGTATGCATATGTTTGTATATCTGTGTGTGTGTGTGTGTGTGTGTATATACCTACACATGCATACCTATATACACGTTTGTCTATATATGCAATACACACACACATATGCACACAAACACATATGTATGCATACATTTAGACAAACGCATGCCTATCCACAAATGTATACATATACACTGATACATGCACACACATACAATCCCCCTATACCCCACCCCCAACTATCTATCTACTTGGGTCAGGCCAGTGGCTCTCCTGCTTTGCAGACGGGGCAGCCGGGCGGGCTCCTGTCTGCCACTCTGCTTTCGAAACAGAACCAGTGCAGAGCAGTATCCACGCTGTACCGGGCCAGCCTACATGCTACAGCCCACCCCAACCCCCCACGTAGCTTCAGTGTCCCCCGTGCCCCTCCCGTCTCGCGACACGTGCGTAGCTGCACCTCCCACGCAGCACGGCCGCCCACAGTACACATGCGCAGCAGCCGGTCCATAACCACGGGCAGGCTAGAAGAACGAAAGGAACAAAGACGCATGCGCACTAGAGACCGACCGACCCACCCACACCTCACGTGCGCAGTAGCGTTACCAATCCCCACACTCGGGGCTGGGTGACGCATGCGCCTTATGACAACGGGGTAGCAATGGGGGGAGGGGAGCTGCTGCGCATGTGCTTTGAAGATCCGGAAGTTAAAGCTAAATCTTTTTGCACAGCTCTAGGGACAGGAGAACGCTTTCTTCTTCCGGTTGACTTCCATCTACATCCGGATGCCGGGAGTGCGGTGGGTGGTGATCTTGGATGGCGCCTGCCCTTGGCGGGGGGGTTATTTATTGAGTGAATTCATTAATGGATTTTCTGGCTGACTAAGCTTGCCTTGAAGAGACGGTTGTCCACGTCCCGCGCGCGCGCTGTTTCCACCCGACTGCTGCGTGGGGCGGCTGACTTCAGCGCATAAGTGCCCACGTGCGCGCTCCTCCGACCTGGCGAGTTCTGCGTGTGCGCAGAGGTAACCCCCCCCCCCCCCCCACACCTCTAGGGGCAGGGGGGG